TATTGAGCGCCTATGAGTATGCTTCCCCTCCTCTATCACCCACGTCAAGAGGGTGCCTATGCGTCAGCTCCTCCATCCGAGCAGCACACAACTGGGCGCTTAAGCACCCATAATCTGGTGCATATGCACAGGGTGCCTTATGCTCAGTCTCAACAGCTCAACAATCTCCCACTTAGAGACTATAACACCGAGCACCAGACCTTTGTACTTGCACCTCCATCTGAATTGAGTTCATAGTCGTGTATGTGGCTCACTCTCGGTCTCAACCTTCGTGAAACTCAACTGAAGACAAGCAAAGCTTTAGTTTCTCAAAAATCACCACATTTGTCAACATATCCACATGATTCTTAGTTGTGTGTATTTTTTTTTATAAATAACTGCATATATTCTAGAAGAGATTGAATGAAATGATACCTGAGTTGGATGTGTTTCATCTTGGCATAGAAAGAAACATTCTTAGCAAGTTAAATCACACTCATATTGTCACTATAAAGTTTTCCAAATCCGTACTCCTTGACCAATTATGCCATGAAAGGCCCTTGGCATTCCTCATCAATGTAGCTGAGGCATTTCAGGTCTCGTACCTCGATCACCTTTTGGGTCATGCTTCATAGTCTCAAAATGCACCCTTTGGGTCATGCTTCATGGCCTTTGGACCCACCCTTCGAGCCATGCTTTAAAGCCTCAGAACCCACTTCTTGGTTGGATGTAAGTCATGTATGCATTCCTCCCTTACTTACCGGGTTGGATATTATTCCCATAGTTTTTCTCTCTCGGCCACAAGTCCCACACCTTGAGCCTCTATGCCTCGATTAGACATCAAGATTTGATGTGAATCCCAGTGTTTTTTCTCCTGTGTTAATCTTTTTGGTTGCTCATCGAGTTGATGTAAGTCCCTCGGCTCTACTCAGCATACATGTTTGCTTCATAGGCATTAATGTGAGCCTTCGAGGTTTCCTTCTTAATGTATGCATACCTGCTTTTATTGGTTGCTCGGGTTTTGTCGGTTACATGACTAACCTCGACTTAATCAAAAGTTGAGCTACTTCCAACAAGTGCACTGCGCCTTAACGGCGTAGCAAACTTGTTGGGGTGTTTTTTTAGCATCATTTTTTTATGTCATGAGTGTAGGATGTCCACTTGAATGACTTGGGACAATTTAGTATTCCTTCATAGCATCTAGTAGCACAAGTCATCCATCAAGCCTCCCCCCCCCCCCCCCCCCGCGATAATTTAGACTTGCCCGGTATAATCCACCATTGGGTGGCATCAATCACAACATGAGACACGTTTAATGTCCATTCTGGTGTTTATAGGTCATGAGATATTCATATGGAGTCTCCCTTGGTCAAAGGAACCGATCAATGCTTCTCGCAGACATTTTTGAAAAAATTAGTTTAGAACGATGTACCTACACTGTGATTCAAGGCTCCCGTTGGCGCCAAAATCCTTGATACAATGCCCGTAAAAATACTTATCTCTAACGTTATAGAACTTTATTTTTATTCATATTTGATCTCTCATGGCTTTCAGACCGAAAAAAACCATCGTCAGACGCTTCTAGCAAAAACTAGGCTTTTTGGGGCTAGACTGGTGTGGAGGCACCAGTCTCGGGAGTCTAGTCGCCCAAAATAGCCCCAAAGAGCTTAAAAGAAAGAAGAGAACAACTTGGCACTAGGCCCAACGCCCAGGCTCCCAAAACAGCCTAAAATGGTCCTGGAATCGAGTCGACAGAAACCTGATGCTAGAAACATAGCGGTGCCACCAATATCCCTTGGCACCTCCGGCATTCCTATGAGATAACCATCCTTTGTGACACCTTCTCACTAGTCATTATTCAAATGTAAGCAATATACTTTTAATTGAGAGTATTCTTGGACATCCTATAACAAAGTGATACGCCCTTTAAGAGTTGCTCTTTAACCTGGAACAAGCAAACACACTTGATTCTATAGTTGTGGATTGCTTCTGTAAGGTCTTTTACATGGATATGTTCCAAAACTTTTTCTATATGATCTCGTTTTGAACGTACTTCTTGGGCTATCACGGGATGTTTACATTATAAAATTTATCCACGTTCTTTCTCTCGTTTGTTTGCCTTCATCGTATATCTTCTCTTTTTTTTATTTCTCTCTTCTTCAAATCATTCATATAATCTGAAAAAGAGATTTATTCAGAAAAGGAAATGATACAGCGGTAGAAAAGCCGGCGACTACTTCACAAATAAAATAGAGAAAAAGAAAAAAAAATAATGATGAGGTCATGCAAGAAGTACATTCACTATATGAGATATAATATTCATAAATTAAGCATACAACTATTACACTAATTCTTTTTTTATGATATTTATCACTGTTATTTATCATTGATCTAAAACATTATGAACCATAATAGAACAATTAGCTATCCAGAAACAAAATATGACTCATAATGCAAATACAAAAATGATTAGTTCATACATCAAGAAATTATGATAAAATAACATTTTAAAAACTTATTGCACTCATACATCACTATTATTTAAGAAGAAGTGTATATACTTAAATCTTATGCTCAAGCGCACTTATTGCACTCATACATCACTATTATTTAAGAAGTGTATATACTTAAATCTTATGCTCAAGCGCTACTGGCACTAAAAAACTCTATTTTCGTAGGGTCTCGTTACACTTTCATTAAATACAAATACAAATACATATATTCATAATTTTTTGCAGTTTCTTATATTATTTTTCTGGCATTTAGAATAGATGTTTATGCAAGTGATGAGCAAGGTCTAAAGAAAATAATAGTGCATGTAGAAACAAGTTGCAAAATATGATTTCTTAAAAAAAAATTTGCCTTTTTTTTCTTTCTTTTACTTCTAGGCCATAAAGGTGACCATCGTTTGGAGTGGCTAGATCCAGCATGTTTGATTAATTTATGAATGAATCCTTCACTTGAATCCTCTTTGTGCTCAGAACCCACATGCTTAGATATATCAATGTTCACTTCCTGACTTGGCGTCCAAGCATGATAACTAGTATCAATGACTCCACCAAATATTTGATCTAGCTTCTCTTTTAGTTTTGCGTCAATGTCCCAAAATTTAAACTTTTTCGTGCTTGGCACAGCCTACAATTTATAAACATCAAAATTATTTATATATGAAATGGGTTAAGAAAATGGAATGGTCTGACTAGAAGAAAAATATTTCACCTCTAATCTCTCATTCCAAATTCTTCTGAAACATCAATGGTTTGTTTTGGATGATCCCAATAAAAAAATGTAGCTCCTAGCTCTAATTCTTTTTATGCTTTTCAATTTTTTTCTTAAAATTAATTTCACTTTATCTTTAATTCTATCATATCTACTCTCTTTCAGTTCTTTCTTTACAATCTTTTATTTCCTTATTTGTTGAAATACTTTGTAAGCCTATTTTCTTAATTCCACCTCCTTTAGACACTGATGAAAAAAAACTAACTTCACATCTATTTCCCACATAGTGGAAGATACACATTCTCTTGTATTGCCCATTTACACCTCAACACGGACTGAAGCATAAATTGCTTTTCTAAATGATTTCCCCAACTATTCTTACTATCAAACTCAATATTATGAGTTATTTATACATACAAGCTATAACAATTTATATCACTAACACCAACATAATAATCCCTCCTGAAGATGAATAACTTTTAGATCATCCACATACCAATCCCTCCCCCACGCATATAAGATATTGTTCACAATCCTTCCTCCAAAGGCCAACACTAAGAAAGAAAATATCTCATATCGCTTTTCAGATTTTTTTCTACCAATTTGCTCAAATGACTATAAAGATTCATTAAATATTGATTGATCTTTGAAAATAAAAGTATTTTTATTGTCTGTTCCTACTATTATTGATTATACTAATATAAAAATTAATTTCAACCTTCACTTGTCAACTGGCACCGAGAGAATTTTTTCCTATATCCAAGAAAATCATTGACATACTTTACCATAATGAATCAAACTCTCAAAAATACATTTATTTTTATATAATCTTAAAGTTGATTACCCTACCCACCAAACGAATAACCTTTTTTTGTTCAGAAATGTTGCCACGCAAAGACCGCCAACAACCTTTCAACAGAAAAACTAAAAACATAGCCGTGAGAGCCAGGCAACCATTTGGGATCCATACAATATAAATTAATCAATTCAGATCTCTCTATACTCAAAAGAAATATAAAAAATAAGGCATAAATTATTTACTATAATGGACAGTCTCTAACTGATTTATAGAAAGAATTTTAATAGAAGATATTAGATCTCTTGTACCCTGGCGCGCCTCCCCTATTTGTGGATTCGGATAAGCCCGGATGCAATACATTAATGTTTAGATGAAAGTTACTAAAATATAAACTTAAATAGCCAAATGTGTGGTTGAGTTTCTTGTTTAGTGATCACTGGCGGGCCAAGTGACTAACCAAACTCGCTAGCCGAACTGACTAGTTGAACAGGCTGGGTAAACTTACTGACCGAACTGGCTGAAATTAATTAATTGATCAGTTTAACTGGCCAAAATTGTGATTCATGTTGTTTCATATTGGATATCTGAAGAACCGGTCTAGGAATTTTTTGGCTATACTTGAGCAAAATATCTAGTAGCTTTTATGGTTAGCTTTTCGTATCTGCTGACTACTTAGAATTCATGGCAAATCGATTCTCTTTTAATTGACAACTTGCTTTAAATAATATTTTGCAGAAATCCCCACTCAGATGATTTTCGTAAATTCTTTTCCCTTCAGTAAGAACTTCTCAGAAATTTGGTGACTAGGCCCCAGTTTTTTTGACAAAAACTATTTTAATAATCAAGCTCGATATAACATTTATTTCTTAAAATTAAAATAGTCATTAATAAAAATAGAAGCTGATGAGGAAAACTGCAACGCGATGCCTCCTTTCGGCTGCCTCACATTTTATCACATTCGAAGTACAAAATAATCAAGAGAGACTGTATGGAACATGATTGCTTTGCAGAAAGATTCTTTCACTTTATTAAAAGACTACTTACAACTTCTTTACAATCGACCTTTCGGCCAAATCATATCCCAAAAACCCTCACCTCCGAATGGGATTCGCTAAAAAAGAAAAACGAAGCTAGAAGCTTAAAAATCGAAACAAAATTGAGGAGAATCTTTACAGTAACACACTACCATGTTCCCACAAAAACATTACCGGCGAATATTATAGATATGAATAGATGTTAATGTGATAATATTTTGTGGTACTGCGGTGATGTTATGATGCAATACGTCTATAAAATTATCAAATATCATTAATTCATATCTGTGAATTCCGCTCGTAATATTAGCTCCAGTGTGATCTCGGCCCGGCACTATCGAGTAGGATCGCCGGCAGTTGTAACTGACGGCGGTGTCAGCAATTCAACATCATTGCGCTCTAGATCAAGCTCGGATCCTGCAACACCGCCACAGTAGAGCCTTGGATCGCGTGTTAGAAGCCACCGGATTAGCACCATCCGGCTAATCGCTGATTTCAAAGGCTGATCCTCCGCCGATTCGGGCCCTAAACTTATCTGCTCATTCTGGCCGTTCGATGCATCAGCTCTAATCGACGGAATTTCAATCGTAACCTCCCCGGGGACGGAATCGGATGAGGAAGAGCCCATCTCCTCCACCCGCTGGCACGACGAGCACGATTCGTTTCCGTTCGAATCCCCTGTGGTAACCAGGGAATCAATAGCAGGTGTCTCACTGGAGTAGCTCGTCGCCCCATTCTTCACCACCTCAACCGTGGCGCGGCAAAGTGGGCAGGTGGAGTGCGAACAGAACCACATATCGATACAATCGATGTGAAAGCTGTGATTACAGCGTGGAAGGCATCGGATTTTCTCCCCTTCCTTGAACTCGTTCAAACAGACCGCGCATTCCCCTGATTCATCATCTTCCTCTGCGCAGTCTGAAATAAGCAGAATCGGGAGGGATGCGAGAATTGAGGGATCGAGGCCTCGATTGGAAGCGCAATTGACCGAGTGCTGGCCATCAGAAGCAAATACAAGTTGCCGGCGGCGACGCGCACGGCGGGAAGCTCTGCGAATGACGCGCCAGCGGACGTAGAGGTGAAGAAAGAGGATGAGGAGGACGACGGTGAAGAGCACCACGATCGCGCTGAGCATGATCTGGCCGCTGAGCGCATAACTCCGAGGAGATTTGCCGGCATTAGAGGAGCTTGGGTCCATTTTGCTCTGTACAGTGAGACTCGGATTGGGGTAAAGGAATGAAGGAGGACTGTGTTTTATAGGCTAACAACTAGGTAAAGATTCGAGCGGTGACCGGGTAGGCCGCGTGGTGGGACCCGAAGTAATGGAAAAGTGAAAAGTCGTTAATACGCTTTAATAACTAATTTAACTTGTAGATATTGTGAGGGTAGTATGGGAATTCTGTATACCGTGTGGGACCCGCGAGTGTGATTGGTCTCGCGCTGCCTGTTTAATGAGCTAATCGGCCGCGTAAAATGTCCCATCCCGTTCCGAGCCGGAATAACTGTAGGTTGTCGTTATCGGCAAGATGTTTCGGTGAAAGATTTATAAGGGCGATTTCGCGATACAGTGATTAAGAGTAGAGTGTGTAAGTGAGTTAACTCGTAAGTCGGCTTTAGCTCCGCTTGATAAAAGGTTGGTGAACTAAATTTAATGAGCTAACAAGTAAGTTCAAGCTAGCCCTAACTCAAAATATATTAATTTTGAAGATTTTATATTTAAAAATATAAAAAATATTTAAAAAATATTATTCTTTATTTTATATTAAGCTATTACTTATTATTTTGCTCCTAGTTGGTGGTTCAAGTTGTCATTTTATTATAACACTAATTTAAATTAATATTACTTTTTCTCTTTTATATTAACTAAGTCGACTCGAATTAGTAGACTTAAGCTCGAGCTCGAACTGTAACTCGATAAAATTAATCAAGCTCAAGCTCTACTCCAAGGTGACTCGAGCCCGACTCAACTCATTTACACCCATAATTGAAGGTCTAATTTTTTTTTATGGTAAAAGTGTGGGTTTGACCTTTAAGCTTTTCTTCTCTTGTATATGGAAAGAAGGGAAAATTATTTCGAGACTCTAGAAGTTTTCAAAAGTAAGGAATTGGACTTTTTAAATGTAAATATAAACATGCAGTTAAATTAGTTTAAAATTGTTGAATCTAAATTTGTTTGGGAGTCATCCAAGGAATTGAGCACTCGAGATTGAAAGAGATGGTGAGAGAGAGAGAGAGAGAGAGAGGGAGGGAGAGAGAGATTGCACGATGTTAATGATTAAAATATTGTAACCTTTATTCATAAAATAGACCCTCTATTTATAGGGACTGATCATTATATACAATTACTTATTGTACCTCTAGAGTTCGCAGATACTGGATGGGTATTTCAAACTATTATAATATTTTCCATGGGTCTGACGGATATTGTCCAACAGGCATTCGGTCGAGCGGCTATCAAGTAGGGTGGTAGTGAGATTGGGCACCTGTCCGTGCGGCTGCGCGCTAAGGGTTCACGTCAACCGCTCTGAAAATAGAAGAAGGGCTTTTACATCCTTGGTCTATCCAGGCTAAATGGAGTCAGGTTCATCCAACTGAATCTATTAGAGGGATTCTTCAAAAGATGACCTACCATTTATCTGTCTAAATTGCACCATCTTCCAGATATGTTAGGGATTGACCGGTTAAGTGTGTGGTTCTAGACCGCACTTGATAAGTCATCACTCTTGTCATCCGCTATCATCCGCACGATGTGTTCGCTATTTGTGCAGACACATGATTTATGTACAAAAATAAATAAAGAGTAGCGTTAACACGTGGCTTTATTTATAGTTCGAAATAAATTTCCATGTCAATTTCTAATGTGGAAATTTAATTATAACGTAAACGAAAAATTTGTCTGCGTGTAAGGCGGTGCGTGGGCTCGTCCTGCAGCGAGAGGAAGGACCTCCCAACCGCTGAGATGATCCCTTCTCCAAAATAGCAAAAGACGTACTTGCATTGAAGACTCTGACTGAGCTTTTAATGAAGTTTTGAAAAAAAAAATTTCTATCATAAGTTTCCATTCCGATAATAATTAAAAAATTTTAAAATAAGAAAAATAGCACTAATTATTATTCTAAATATTCAGTATATTATCATAAATACTTTTTTTATTATAATGGTCTAAGGACAATTATATTAAATAAAAGCTTCGAACCAAACAACCCATGAACACGTGTTTCGAAATGTTTAATTTCTTTGACTATATGCACTCAATAGCTTGAATATTTTCACATAAACATTTTTAAAACTTTCAGATTATGAATTTTGAGACAATAAATCTTGCACACCTCATCAACCAATTCTGCAATTGCCAACAGCCAACCCCATGCAAGCCATCCATCAAGCCTAGCCACCAATCAATTTCACACGCATCATCACCCAACTCTGCACTCGTCGTCGATTGTGTCGCCATCTGGTCTACTAAACAACTCTGACAACAAACCATTGGGATAATAACTCCTAATTATCCCAAATTGGACGTAAGTTCGCTATGTATGTATATATATATATATATATACAGTAGTGAGTGAATTGTCATTTTATTACGCTTCAAAAATATTATGAAGGCAATCTAATGTAAGATTTATATTAAAGCTAGCTAACTATTTCATGATTTTAGGTTGTTATAAGGAATCTACATCCTTATATATGATTGTTGGATCTTTGATAAATATTACATTACATTTTGGACCTATATATGTTGAGTCATTCCTAATCACATGAATCGTGATAAAACTTTATCTCATTAGGCATCATAGTAGGTTTGAAAGTGCTAGTAGATATAAAAATTGCGATAGATTTGGTTGTATGTAAGAGTTCAGTGATATGTATTAATTTATAATTAGGTTTTGTATTTTTTTTGTGTCTCTCCCTTCTATTCCTCATAAATATAAGGTCTTTTGCAAGTATATAAGCACTTGATTTGTGAATAAAAAATGTTGTTTTAATTTTAGTTTACTCTTATCATGTTACCTTATCCAAGCAAAGAAACTTCTATGTGAGAGTGCCACGACTATGGGTGGCCGTCTTTCAAGAAAGTAAGAACAACATCTTGATTGTTTACTCTTATCGTGTTACCTTATCCAAGCAAAGAAACTTCTATATGAGAGTGTCACGACTATGGGAGGCCGTCTTTCAAGAAAGTAAGAACAACATCTTGATGAAAGTTTATCTATGAAACTAATATATATTTTTGGCAAATACATTAATGCTCAGCGTAATATGCACCATAGGTTTTGCTTTATTGTATTTTTATTATTCTTACTTCTTTTTTGTAATCTCGTCTTATCTACTTTTTCACTGTTGCTCTTATATATTAAAAAAAGGCAAAAGTATTACATATACTAAATTTATAATCACTTTTGCTAATTAAAAATAGTAACAGTTCATAATATTATGAGTATTGAGGTGAGTAAATGCATGAAATTTCCCTTCTTAAAACTCCTAAAGACTATCCTAATTTTTCTTACATTAGATTGGTATTAGAATAAATAATTTTTCCTCTAGAATATCTTATTGTGCAATAAATTACATTTCCTATAATGGATTTTATTATTATGCTCATTAATAATATACTATAGACACTTATCAAAATTAAATTAAAGATATAAATCACCAATTTATTAAGTCATATAAGATTGTTTATAATTTCATTTGTTTGCATATCATGCGAAAGAAACACATTAGCTCGCAAGAAAATTTTACATTTTTTTTTTGTCTTACGTGAAAATGTTCAGAATATTAGCTACATGTTCCCATCTCAATTTACACTCTGTTATTATTTCGTATCAAATCAACAAGATTTACCGCTTATAGAAAAAAAAAATAATTGCATCCATTTAAGCCCACAAAATAGTATAAATCTTAAAACAATCATTTTAAAATTATTAAAACTTTGAAAAAAGTAACTTTGTTAAATTTTTCATCTTAATGATGCCTAGTGGTAACCGTACATAAGAAAAGAAAATGTATTCTTGATCATATAAGAATTTTCCCAGCCCTTCATACGATTTATGATTAATGAATAGACCCACTAGATATTCATCTCAACATTTTAAAAGTAATTTAAGATTTCTTAGCTCTTGGTCTCAACTTTTCACAACATAGTACATGTTTAGGTTTATTAGCTAATTTTGTTAGCTTCTTTCTCCAATTTTAACTATAGGTATGAAAAGGAATTCCATGAGGAAAATTTCAACCTCAAAAAAGAAATAATTCAATTCAACTTATATCTAAGCTGAATCTACTAAATATATGCATATATAAATCATATCCTAAATTTCTGTTTAGTTTACTCATATTCAAAATTTAATATCCTTAATCTGAGTATTGTTATCCTTATAATTGATCGACCTCAAAAATACCAACAATGATAGACTATAATCCAAACATAGAAAATTAATAAAGTCATAAATAATAATGTTGTGATATATTTTGATGAAATTAATAAAGTAGAAAGGCACTTGATTATTTTTACTCTTGGGGATCATAAGAAAGTTGCCACCCAACTCCTTTTATATCTATGAAAGAAAAAACCTTTCATATTATTATTCACCATGAATTTTAGCGTGATAGCACTCTTGGTGGCATCCATATTTTGGATGTCATGAAAATTATGAGGCAATTTATAAATGAGCTTTCTTACCTTTTGATTAAAGTGAGATAATTATTTAATCATGTCGGGGACAAATCCTTGATGAAATATTATAACTGCACTCTATGCCTAATTGAATGTGGATATTATCTTTAATTTATCTTATATTGTACTGAGAAATGCATCGATTTTTATATTATTAAATCAAACTCCAAAAAAGGCAATTCCTATCTTTTATTAGGAATATTGTGTTGTGTAAGTCAAATATACTTTATTTTCTCTTCCATTAATGAACATGTATGTTTAAATTTTTCAGGTAACTCGGTATTTTTTTTGCACAAAACTTATATGATTCTTATTAAGAAAAACTCAGTCAAAATTATCAAAAAAGTTTAAAGATAGATTTAATTTGAATAAATAATGTACTTAGTAATAAAGAATATATTTTCTTAATACAAATAAGATATAAATAGTTTTACATGAAAATATTTTAAAAGTTGCTTTCATGAAAAAGTAAATTCTATAAAATATTTAAGCATGCACACAAATGAGCTAGAATTTCAATTAAACATTGTAACTTC